TGACAAAATAATATGGGAATTGGGACTTACAGTTTAGTGGGGGAGACAGACATTAATCAAGTAACCACAGACATGTGACACTTACCCAGGAGGGCATATGGTGTCCTGAGAGTTTATGATAGTGGGTATTTGGCTTGGTTTGGAGTCAGGGCAGACCCCTTGAGGAAAATACAGTGGAGCTTAGACCTGAGGGATGAGTAGCAGCTAATTTGGAGCACGGCATTCATAAAGAGGAGGTCCTGCAGTGGGGTCCTTTTGAAGAAGGAGAAGACAGTCTAACTGGTCCACGGCACATTCCCTTCCCCTATGCACTGGAATCCCAGTCCAGGGAAGAATACAGTTATGTGTGTGGTCTGTGTAAGGTCACAACAAGGAAGAAAGTTCTTCTAAAATGTAGTAAGGTGGTTTGGGCTGTTTGAATTTATGTGGGTGCGGGGAGTATTTCTCATCTATTTGTAGATATATCCAGTACTTGGTGTCTACTGCAGACGTACAGCTAAGTGACCTTTTACAATGGCAAAAGAATTCAAAAGAAAGGTTAACAGCACCCCCCGTGCCTGTATTAAACCATGCCATGTAGTTGAATTGTTCAACTTGACTTATTAAATACTAGAATATGCTAGATTTATAGGATGACACTTATAGATGAGTGTTGATTACCCTAAAACATGGGAATAGTGAATTACTTTACTTCCTTGCTGAAAAGTCATTAGCTTTGCTTTAATTCCCAACCTTTTCAAGTAAGGAAATCCCTTTAAAATGGAGGGGGGAAAAAAAAAAGAAAAAGTATCTACCTATACACATATATAATGGACCCCACATATATAAGGGTACTTCAAAAATTTTGTGGAAAAATAGAATTAAAAGATAGCACGAATCTTTCCGTCATTTTTTTGAAGACCCATAAAGGGGATGGATACATTGACCTTTTACACACAAAATGGGATACATAGAACTTTTACATGCAGAACTGCACATCTGGCATCATAAATGGGATACACAGAACTTTTACATGGAAAACTACACATTTGGTGTCATTGACACCACATAAATGGGATACACAGACATTTTACACACAAAACTACGTATCTAGTGTCATTGATCTTTATTACATTCTGGGTAATGCAATTGCTGGATTTGTTTTTGTTATAGAAAGATTCTACATCTGAATTAAATTATATCCTCCAAAGACCAAGCTACCCTCTGAAGAAATACCCACTGCATGAACAGAGATATTTTTAAGCCGATGTCTTATGTAAGTAAGCAGCAAGTGCTCTTCTTATCTTGACTTGCTGTAAGAATTTTTGT